GAGAGAGGGAGGGAGGGAGAGGAAAGGAAAGAAGCCAGTGAATGTTTCTGTGTTTCTCAGAGCAGAAAACCAAAACCTGAGCATGAATCACACTGAAAGAACTCAGGGAAAAAGTCGCCAGCTGATGAGAAGAACTCAGTTAAATTGATGCGGTGGAGATCTTGAAGCCATGCAGTTAACAGAATATTGCCTTCAAATAACACTCGCACATGCTTTTTTCCAAAATCAAACATGCATTGGGTATTTCAGCGGGGTAAAGAGGTGTAAATACTCAACATTTTAGCAATACAGATTCTCTAAATGTTTCTGATAATGAATATTTTGTAGAGCATGTTACACACTTTTTCCAGCAATCCCTTTATTCAGTTGATTGTTTTAAGCAAATGATAAATGAACATTATTAAGTAAAAATAAAATATAAAATAAAATATATATTTTTAATAATATGGGTCTGCCTCGATGCTGCCGATGTGTGTCACAAAAACCACAAGCAAATTCAATCACTACTACTAATTCAAAGAGCATTTTGTAAACGATCAATCATTGCAAGCGCAAACTCAGTCATCACAAGGCTGTGAGTGCAGTTCGGATCACAGTGGTCACGGACAAGTTCAGCGTCTCCTCTAGAAGCCACCTCACTAAGGCTTGTTATAGTTTAGTCACACATTTGGAAACTTCTTTTTCTTTTTTAGGAAAGGTGTGTTTTTGTTCGGCCATCCTCTTGGAACAATTATATATTGATTGATTTTTTTTAGAAAATAACTACCAAAATCATGCAACTACCATTTCATTTGTGTGAGACAAAGACCGGTTGGTGCTCTCCACTTGATTTTTCTCTTGGTGCTGGTTGGGAGGTTTTGGAGGTGAGGTCAGCGTTTTGGGCGTTTTAGGCACTGCCATCCTGTTTGAGCCGCTGACTGCGAGCCTTGTAGACCTCGATCAGTAAATCTTTGACGTACTGGATTTCTCGCTCCACCGACTCCGCCTTGTCACGGAGCTCCCGGTTCTGCCCCTCGAGGCCGTGCAGCTCCTCCTCCAGAGAGTCCAGCTCCGCCCTCTTACGCAGCCTGTACCTGCAGAGGGGAAACAATGCGATGGGTTGCTTTGACGGGTTTCTGCTGCCTTGCATTTATTAATGAGATGAGTGAGCGTGACCTTTGAGCTACATTGGCTGCATTACACACGGCTCACACATCCCTCCCCTGAGATACCACCATTTGACACTCATCAATTTCTACTCTTCCCAACTTTTCCCCTACTAACGTTATGAAGACTGTTTCCTAAACACAGATGTGAATAAGTCAATGAAAACCTCCACACAGACAAGCCAGACTTATAGAAATGGTTAGGTGGGGCTGAATTTGGCAGGCAGTGAGGGACTTTCCATTTCCCTCCTACACTCTGCAAGACATTTAAAGCACTGGGCTGGCTGCTGTATGCAACACTCCAGCCATTTTAAAGTTGGAAAGCCAAACAACAAGTACTCGCATATCAGCAATCACTTTATTCACTAACCAAATCAAGAACATGAATAAGAAAATAAGCTCACTTAGCTGTGATTGTGAATATGTTTGCTCTTTTTATTGCTATGAACCAGATTTTCACCAGCAGACTGCGCCACTGATTTTGACATGTTTCTGACGGTTTTAGAGAAGCGAGCGTCAGGGGGAGCCAGACACAAAAATGGACTGAGTCCACTGTTTACCTGTGAGCAGCAGTTTTGTTCTGGTCTCTCTTCTTCTGCTTCCTCTCCCCAGTGCCGGACTCCAGAGACACGGCGCCCATCACCAGAGCTGGCTTGACGGAGCAGGGCTCATCCTTTAGCCTCTGGGTGGGGCGGTGGATGGGGGCGCCCAGCAGCGTGCCCTCGCCCTCCCCTCTGGACAGACATTCATAGCTTTGGTCTGCAAGGCATTCTGGATAGAGGTAGTGGCCATGTTGGGGCTCTACAGCCTGTGCTTGTGACGGCTGCTCTAGGTCCCCTATAAAGCTATGGTAAGGCTCTGTGCTGGCCATGGACTGGTGGAAGTAGCCGTCACCGGCCACCATTGTCTCTTGGGGAATACTTCCAGAAAGTCCTCCATCTTTGCTGCAGTGCAAGACCTCCAGCCCCGTGCTGTCGTAACTTACATTGACCTTCACGTTGTGCATCAACTGTCCCTCTCGCTTGTGGTGGCTGTCGTACGAGCCGCCCAGACAAAAACCTCGGGCAATCTCTTCGCTGCAAAACATTCCTTCTGAAAAACAATAACTCTCCTCTTCCTTCAACGATAAAGCACATTCTCTCACCTTCTTGACGCTACCGAGGCTGCTCTTGCTCACCGTCTTCAGTGTGGAGTAGTGGTTCACAGACAACTCTGTGCTTCCTGAGTAACTTCCCCTGGAGCCCCACGTATCAAGTCCAACTTCCTCCCCGACTTTCACAGCCTCGCTGATGATTCTTCGCCCGTTGTTGTGGTGGTAGCGGTGATGGTAGTTGTACGGAGCGGGTCGCGCTATTTTGGTTCTGCCAATGGGACCGCCACAGAAGCTGGCCAGGTCCAGTTCCCCTGTTGCCAAGGTAACAACCACAGGGCTGGTTTCTGATTGGCTGGTCCCATATGAGCCATAGGGTAACTGATAATAAGACTGGGAGCCCATGGCTTGAGCACCCTTGTCACATTTTGAGGATTTCTCCAACTTGTTTGTCGTGGATGTGGACTCGGAGCGGAAGTAGTCCTCCAGCTGAGCCAGCTCCTCCTGCAGTAGAGAGGTCATGACCTCCAGATCCGAGGGCACCTTGACATCTTGTTCTAACGGCGAGGGTGGAAGGGATGAGCTGGGAGAAGACTCGGTCGTCGACACAAATGAAGACAAATCAACTTTTTCCGTCATCCAATCTGAGTGACCATCACCTATAAAAATTCAAAATAAGAATCATATAATCAGTAAAGCAATCCATTTTCATTCAGCTGTTTGTGCAGAGTAACTGAAATAAAAACTACAAATTCAGGAAAAAAATCTTAAATCACGCAAGGTAGAGAGGATAAATGTAGAAAAAAAATTCAGTTCAAAATCAAGCAATACATCCGACAAATCCAAGTGAACAACTAACCGATCATCTGAAAATGATTGAACAGCATCGTCTGCATTCGATAAATATCCACTTAGCTGTACTCACTGTACGACATTAGCCCCGTGCTGCACTGCGGCTCCGACCTCGGGATGTGGAAAAATAAAAAAGCGTCTTGGCAAAACTCACCAATTAAGTGCTGCCTCTCCACTGGCTCCGCCCCCGTCCCGGGCCGTGATTGGCTGCGGCTAGCCTGTCGGAGAGGGGGAGCGCAGAGCTCGCCTGTGGAAATGGGAGGAATTTTCCTGCGAAGGATCGATGCCGCCATTGTGTCGTCTGCTTCGATTAAATTGTTCAAAAGCACAAAGCGTGCACTGGCTGGATGAAAGAGTTGTGGAAACACCTGAAGACCTGTGGGGAAATTAGGAAAAAAAAAAAAATATTTAATTTAAATGTGACAATTTTAAATGTTGCCTTTAAATACCCCTTTCATCCACTAAAACCTTAAAGAATTACTTCTTTTTAAAAAAAAAATGTATTATAATTAATATTTAAAGTAAAATAATTTACTTTAAATGTGTATTGAGTTCAAATTAACCCTTCACGTTTCTATTCACCTGACACTCAATGCTGTGATTATTTATTATTTATGTCACTACAATGTAACTATCAAACAACAATGTGAAAAACAGCAACTTAACATACTTTGAGAAACAATAAAACCCAGAAAAAGAATAAAGTACAAATAAAAAAAGACTTATAATATTTTAATAACACAATTACAGACTTAAACATGCATAAAAGTTATTTTACAGAATGAGACACGTACAAACACATTTGTTGCGCACTTAAAAATGTATAAGAAACAGACATATATATGTATATTCTTTTTTTTTTCACATGAAAAAGTAACTTTGAAGTGGTTACTTAAAACAGTAATAATTGGCTAAAATAGTGCTGCAAATGGCGTAAATGAATTGGAATTAAGCGTACAATGTAACGGCACTTTAAACAGGGTCTAACCTCAGCTGTTAGCTAACAGAAGAAACGATTCTCCGAACTTTCCTGTTTCCCCAAAGCTAGAAACACTCTCACTTACCCCATAGTTTCTGAGTAGTCTCGTGAAGTGCGTTGCAGGAGCAAAGCACGCGAAGCTTTATGGCGAGGAGGACGACGGTCACAGTTTAAAAAGCCATATTTCCCTTTTACAAGTCAGGGACTCTTCATGAAGTGCTATTTCGACGAACAGACTTGGAGACAGAAAGTTTTTAAATCCGCTACTTCTGCAACTCCTAATGCCCGGACCGGATCACAGCAGCCGAGATCAATCCGCAGTTTACAGAGTTCACCCGGCCGTTACGTCATGAACCTGGGGACTTTCCCATTATTACCCTGAGAGCACACACACACACACACACACACACACACTTACATCTCCTGTTTTCACTGACTCTGTTAGAATGTCTTCATTTCTGTTGTATTTCATCTGAATTTACTTTTATTTTATTTTAATTGATTTTATTTTTTTTAAATAGTGGTAGAAATATTTTATTTATTTTGTTACTTTTTTAAAAGCATGTTTTGTCGTTTACATAGCATTTGTGCTTCCATTGGATGCGGCAGATAGAATAAAAATCATTTCATCAATCTAACTAAAATAAACATGAGTAGCAACCTGCGGGGGGGGAAATCAGTGACAGAAAAACATACACAAAACAGTCCGGATAATACAACAACGCGTTAAAGACATTAATAAAAGCCTAAACACACTTCTAAAGAAAAACAGTGGAGCGCATTGAGCAGACGGTGTAGCCGGCACTAGTTTCCGTGGGGCCGTGGCGGAAGGACATCGTGTTGCAGTTCGAAGGTGTAACTTTAGTTGCAGCCCTGTTGCATCAGATCCGCAGGGGATTCGCTGAGCGCTGTAACAATGTGGCCACACCATTGGTTTATCTGGGGGAACTTTTTTATTTCTATTGGCCTGCTATCACTCTTACACTGATTGCTAATCATTCCACATTAGCGCCAAACTGGGACTGCTTTACCGTCCATTAGAACCAGTGGTGTGTGGTAAAGAGTGACCGTGGACTCCAGCTGAGAGCATAACACACTTAAAGTCAGTAACAAGTGGAGATATGTTGGTTTTCTGTGTCCTCTCCAGTTTTAACATCACTTCCGTCCGTTTGTACCTGGTGTGAAGAAATACTCTGAGAATAAATTCATTAAACCCCCCAAAAGTCCCTTTACCAAACTTTTAATGTAGATAATAGGTTTATATATCATCTCCTGCACCTCCTGCTTCTATTAACATGTCAGACATTAATAAAGAGATGATAGTAAACAGCATCAGAGAATTTTGACTTAGACTTTAATTTTTTCTTAGATTCTTAATGAATTCTTCATTGTGAAATTATGAGTGAATTTTATATAGAAATACAGATTTTGATCTGACTGCGTGGATAGTTGATCTGAGGAGAAAACTGAAGCTAATGGCTGTTTTAAATTGCTTTTATTAGGTGTTTATCAGGTGTAACACTTCATCCAGTACATATTGCATAAAAGGAGTCGCTAAGCTAATCAAGATTTAAGATATAATTAATTCAAGTCAAGTAAAAATGTATTTATATAGCCCAAAATCATAAATCAGAATAGGGGACTTTACAATTTGTACAACATCAAAACCCTCTGTCCTTCCATTTGGGTGAGCAAAAACTCCCCCAAAAAATCCCTTTGAGAGAAAAAAATGGAAGAAACCTCAGCGAGAGCCACACAGGAGGAGACAGACATGCAACAGACGCAAAGTGCACAGAACAAACCAACAAAATCACATTAAAATATTGATGACCCAATTTCTGACACATGATTTTATTTAGGAGCATATTTTTACCAGACATACAAACATTCATGTCTTCTGTGGAGTGAATACAGACACAGAGAGAATATACAAACTCCACAGAGG